TTGAACCGCCAGCCTTCTGGTTAGCAGTCACATGCCTTAGGCACTACGCCACCAGAGCTCCCCCTTATATCATCAGTATCTTTTTAAGTCATAGCATTGAACATCTGTGAGTGAACAGCTGAGAATGACATCAGCAAATTACGTGCTGCAACTTTGTATGTAGCGCATATTTACTAATGATAAAATTTACCAAAAAGCATTGAACCCACAGCTGTGGCTTCCAGCCAAACAAAAGACAGGCATATGAGTTGAACATTTACCTGAGGTAGATACACTCCGTGGAGAGAACAATCATGGAAGAAAGAAGGGCTGTTTATATACTGGGAGACAGCTCAGGGGGCAGGAATGCATGGAGGGATGGACACAGAGAAGAGGTGACTGTTGGGAGGAAGTGGGAGGGGAGCTGTTGCATTGGGGTAAATTGTGGTCAGTGTCATGAGACAATGTGTATGTGAACTGCTGTATGGAAAGTGAATTTGCTCTGTGATTTTCACCCAAATCACAATTAAAAAAAAAAAAAAAGTACCAAAAAGCAAAGATGGTCATAAGTGAGCTTGTCGTTACTCTAATATGTCGTAGATAGAGACTGCCTGTGTTTGGTAGGCATGGTGCTAAACCAGACCAGTTGCCGTCAAGTCAACACTGAATCACAGCAACCCCGTGTGTGTCAGACTGGAGCTATGCTCAGTGGGGTTTTTCCATGGCTGGTTTTTCAGAAGAAGATCACCAGGACTTTCTTCCAGGGTGCCTCTGGGTGGACTCAAACCTTCAACCCTTTGGTTAGCAGTTGAGTGTGTTAACCGCCTGCACCCTCCAGGGACTCCACAGGCTCTGTGCTGAGCACCTGCTAAACAAGATGTCTTTTAACCCCTACAACAACCTCAGAACACCTGGAGAATGCTTGTTGTGTGTCTCTGAGCCCTGATGTCCTCATCTGGAAGGATGGGGCTGGGGTAAGACCTGTGTCTCTGTACGAACGCTCAAAAAAATGTCCATTTTAGGAAATAGTTTGATAGGTCATCATTATTAAATATCATACATGCTCACTGGGGGAAAAAATGCAAAAACCCAGAGAAGCCCCATGAAGAACATCTTGTCTGTTACCTCATCCCCCACACGGAGCTCATGGTGTTGCCATGAGCCAGAGCTTGGCCTGTCCTCTTCCAGATCAGTGATGTGACGTCTTTTAAAGTAGCTCTGTTGTTGAAATAAAGCGTGCAGACGGAAGAGCACCCTGCTCCTGGTGTCCAGCTCCGTGAGCGTTCACCAACTGATCCACCTGTGTTCCAGCAAGAATGTGGCCATCACCCTAGAGGCCCCCCGTGCCCCTTCCACTCCACCATGTTCAGTGGCAACCACTGCTTTTACTTCCAACACCACAAATTAGTTTTGCCTATTTCTGAACTTTGTATGTTGTTTTAACAGCTGTGGAGCCCTGGGCTCATGGTAACAGAGTGAAATGCTGGCCAGTCCTGCGGCATTCCTGTGATCAGGTGTGGATTGGACCATTGTGACTCAGGGTTGCCAGGCCTTTATTTCTGGTCTACCTTAGACAAGAAGCTCTGCTGAAGCCTGTTCAGCATAATACAAGCTTCCACTGACAGACACTGATAGCTGTGCACGAGATGCATTGTCCAGGAATCAAACCCAGGTCTCCCGCATGGAAGGCAAGGACTCTGCACCGACCCACCACTGCTCCTGAACTTCATACAATGGGATCATAATGCCATGTGTTCTTTTGTATCTGGTATATTTCTCTTAACATCAGCTTAGTTTGTTGGAAGATATCCGTGGTATTTAATGTAGCACCAGTTCTTTCATTCTCAATTCTATCTAGTGTTCCATTATATAAAAAGGCAGCAATGTGTTTATCCATTCTTTTTTAATGGGCAGTTGCTTTGTTTCTAGTTATTTGCTAAAACAAGTAGTGTTACTTTGAACATTCCTTGTACTTGACTTCTGGTGAAGGTATACTGCATTTCTGTTGGATAAATGTCCAGGATTTGAATCACTGGGTCAGAAGGTATGAATATGTTTGAGTTTACTAGACACTGACAGTTTCCCACAGTGGGTGGACCAGTTTCTACTCCCACCAGCTGTGTATAAGAGTTCCAGTTGCTCCACATCCCTACAAACAGTTGATATTGTCGATTTCTTTTTTAATATCAACCATTCTAGTGGCTGCATAATATATAGGGTTCAGTGGGCCTATAAACGTCAATGGGGAAAAATACAGACAATTTATTTTCACTGTTTGTGAATGGAAGCATTTGCTTCCATTTTAAAGTGTAAATCACAAATCACAGTCAGTTAGCAGAATCTGTAACTTTTTCACCCATAGAAATCACCAATACTTAATTACAATTACACTTGTTGCAGATAGCATGAAATAAAATGTATTCACTCACCAGTCACTACTTTGAAATTTCCAGACCCTCTGCTGGGTCTTCTTTTAAATATATTCATTTCAAAGGACACTTACTACTATTTCACAGACTGTTTTAGTACCTTGATGACTGTATTTCAAAATAATTGATTTTCACTGTAATCCTACATATTTTATTTTATGCATTTAAAACCATTTTGAGATGGGGGTCCGTGGACTTCCCTTGCCTGCCTGAGGGCTCTACTGCATGACAAGGGGTAAAACTAATGGTCCAACGGGTCGTGTTATTCTCATGCTTTGCACACATGACAGTGGTTTAATGCCCACCACTGGGTGAGAACAGGAAAAGGCTTTTGTGGTCTGTTTTCTCAATGGCTTCCCGGTCCTTCTCTCCCTCCAGCCTTCTTCGGGAAGTACCTTAATGAATACAATGGCTCCTATGTGCCACCCGGCTGGAAGGAGTGGGTCGGACTCCTTAAAAACTCACGCTTCTATAACTACACACTCTGTCGGAATGGCGTGAAGGAGAAGCATGGCTCTGACTACTCCAAGGTAAGGTCTGCCTTTTCTGGGCTTGTGAGAGGCAGTGTGGCCCAGTGGTTAGGAGCACCGCTCTGGGGCGGGGCTGCCTGGGTTTGGTCTGTGACGTAAATGTGTGACCTTGAGCAGCTGACCCACATCCTCTGCTTCTGAGATTTTTTTGTCTCTCAAATTATAGTCTCTGTTTCAAGGGTGTTGCTTTTTAATATTTTACTGAAGCAGAATATCCTTATAGAAATGGGCTCAAACCAAGTGGACAGTTCACTGAGTCTTCCCACACTGGATCTGACACCCTGGGGACATCGGCTGAGGACAGGCCCCCAAATAAAACTGCAGAGGTTCTGCTGGAAGAAGGCGACTAGATGCTTGGCCGCCAAAATACACTCAGCACGCAGGGGTCCCTCCTACCTTTGAAAGGAGCCCTGGTGGTGCAGTGGTTAAGTGCTCGGCTGCTGACCAAAAGCTTGGCAGTTTCAACCCACCAGCCGCTCCATGAGAGAAAGAGGTGGCATTCAGCTTCCATAAAGATTTCAGCCTAGAAAGCCCTGCGGGATGGCTCTGCTTTGTCACATGGGGTCCCTGAGTTGGCATTGCCTCGACAACACCTAACAGCAAGCTACCTTTGATGGGTAACCAGGGCTGCCATGTGTCCACTTCCTGTGTGTCAGTCAGAACCAGCCAGGCCCTGGTGGCAGAAACCACTTGGGACATCTCCTATGTAGTACCCTCTGACCCTGGCTGTGCATACACACGGTCTCCATTATGTCCTGAGAGAATGAAGTCTCAAGTCCTAGGCAGGGAATTTAGTGACCTAGTGACCCCTTTGGACTCTCCAAAACCAAACTTACTACCTTTGAGTCAATTCCAACACATGGCAACCATTAGGGCAGAGCACAGCCGCCCCATAGAATTTCCAAGGCTGTCAATCTTTGTGGAAGCAGACTACCTCATCTTCTCCTGCAGAGCAGCTGGGGGGTTCGAACCACCCAACTTTTGCTTAGCAACCGAGTGCTTTAGCCACTGTGCCACCAGCCCTCCTTCTTGGACACCTAGGAAATAGATATTGTAGTCCCCTTGGACTGCACAGTTTGTCTGCCAGGCCCAGAGCAGACAAGTTCTCCAAGTCTCCTGAGCTCCCTACTCCCTCCTCTTTAAGATTCCTGGCCATGCCTTTGCCTTGGCTGAGAGCAGCCCAGTAATCAAGTTATCCAGAGATACTTGGGGTCCTCGGTGGCTGAGGATGGAGACATAGAGTGTCTGCTATTTTGCCTGTTTGCTGCTACACTGACATTCCCCGTGTGAGAAGAACCCCCGTGGAACTGAGGGGCCTGGGAACAGGGGCATTTTAACAAGAATGTGGAGGGAATGTTCCCCTTTGGAGTCACAACTGGCTCAGGCCCAAGGTTCAGATCCAGCTGGGGGGAGCAGTGGGCGATGGCAGCCAGGGCATCTGGAGGGGCCAGGAGCAAGCTCGGACTTTCCAGCAAGCCCGGGAGCCCATGCACTGGGTCCTATACTCAGGGTGGTGAGATGTTCTTACCAGACAGAGCATCATGGTGATCTCAGGGGCCTCACTGGGAGGTCCAGGTGGAGAGGAAGCTGCTGGCCCTTCCCAGGCTCCCCTCACCAGGCCCTCTGCAGACTCTTGTCTTGAGTTATGCCATGGAAAGAGAGGCAGCAGTGCCCAGAAGGGAATGGGATAAAGGCCGGAGAAGGCAGGACAGTTAGCGGGAAGTGAGGTCAAGTCACAGAGCGTTCCCGGCTGAAGCTGTGGGGGAGGGACCAGCAGGTGCTGGGGGTGCTCTGGGAGATGATGCATGCCAGCAGGGGAGGGCAGCGTGGCCGTCTCAGTGACCCTGAATGTGCCCCAGGGCCCCTGCGTTTCCTCTTCTCTGTACGTTCGGGAGAATACCTCATGCAGGAAGCTGCGTGGCTGAGCTGTCGCTGTGGTTTGGGTTGTTAATGAAAGAAAAAGTCCTCAGTGCTGAAAGGACTGAGTGACCATGCAGCACCCCTCTCCAGGAGGCAGATGAGCTAGACAAGAGGATGTGCAGGTAACGCCGTCAAAGGGCTGAGGATGGAAGGCTGAGTGAGAAAAGCAAGCTGCTTTTTTGAGCAAGGTCATGCTCCTGTCCACTTCCTGGCTGCAGCCTTCCCAAACCATCCTGTCAAAGGGCACCCTCCATCCCTCTCGCTCCTCGGTCCCCTCCTCTCCCCTGGTCCCCATCTGACACGTTACACCCTGCATACTTCTGATCCATCTGTCATTGTCTGCCCACTCTGTTAGAATGCAAGCCCAGTGAAGGCAGGACTGAGTGTTGTTTTTGTTCACTGCTGTATTTGCTGTGTATATGAATGGATACAGATGTACATTATGACACAATGACGTAAGAAGAGGCATGAAGCAATACCGTTGTTTTTCTATGGAAATCACTCACACTCACTCCCTGCCGTCGAGTCAGATCCGACTCATAACGGCCCCTCCTTGGGTTTCCAAGGCGGTATCACTACGGAAGATAAGAAAATATTTGGAAGCATATTTCTCAGCAGGGGACAACGGGGGCCACAACTGGGGTAGGAGTGGGGGGGTAATCAAGGGAACCTCAGCCAATTTTGTTGTTTTAATTCTACAGGGAAGAGGCTGGTGTGTATGTCTTGAGGAGTAATAATATTTGTGTAGCAGTATCATGTGCCCAACTACTGTTGAAATCATTTGACACCGCATTTCTCACCACAGCCCATGAGAGGGGTGCTGTTACCCCACCTGGCGATGAGAGAGTAACTTAACTTGGCCACAGACAGATGAGTAAAGCCAGGTCTCAAACTCAGCCCATCGGGCTTCACAGTCCACGTACATAGCCCATGGGCCAAGTCCAGCCCACTGACTGTGTTTGAACAGCCTTTGAGCTAAGGATGATTTTTATAATTGTAACTAACTCCAAAAACCAAACTCACTGCCATCAAGTCGATCCCAACTCATAGCAACCCCTCCTTGGGTTTCCGAGGTAATATCTCTACGGAAGTAGATTGCCCAGTCTTCCTTCTGAGGAGTGGCTGGTGGGTATATTTGTAACTAGTTCCAAAAAAGAAAAAAAAAAAGGAGAGTAATTTTCATGACACATGAAAATTACATAAAATTGAAATTTTAGTCTCCAGAGATAAAGGTTTACTAATGCACAGACATGCCCATTCATTATGCATCATCTATAGTTGCTTTTGTGCTACAGTGGCAGTGATGAGTAGCTATGGTTGACACCAGGTAGACCAAAAAGCCCAAGTGTTCACTCTCTAACTCTTGGCAGCAAAAGTTTGTCAACCTCTCCTCTAACCCACCATATTCACCTCTCATTGAAAATTTCTGTTTGTTTGTTTCCCTTCCATAATAAAACGGGCATAATGCCCACTTCCCAAAGTTGCTCAAAAGTCCAATGAGCTAATGTAGGATAACAATAAGAGCCAGCACACATTAGGGGCTCTCTGTATGTCAGGCTGTCTGCAAAATGCTTTACTTACTGAGCAATTCCTCATCAAGTCCCACCACCATCAGGAGAAGTCATTAGGCCCATATTTCAGATGCAGAAAGTGGGGTGCAGAAAGGCAAGTGGTTGGCAGCTGGGATTTAACTCAGACTTGTGGGACTCTGGGGCCCTTAGTCTTCATTGCTGCCCCTTATTGTTGGTGTTTGGTGCTGTCAAGTTGGTTCTGACTCACAGTGACCCTGCGTACAACAGAATGAAACATGACCCAGTCCTGGAACATCCTCACAATTGTTGCTACGCTGGAGCCCATCATTGCAGCCACTGTGCCAGTCCATCTCATTGAGGACCTTCCTCTGTTTCACTGACCCTCTGCTTTACCAAGCATGATGTCCTTCTCCAGGACTAGTCCTTTCTGACAACATAACTGAAGCACAGGAGACAAGTCTAGCCATTCTCACTTCTAAGGAGCATTCCAGCTGTGCTTCTCCAAGACACATCTGTTCGTTCTTCTGCCAGTGCACGGTATATTCAGTAATCTTCACAACAGCGCAATTCAAAAGCATCAGTTCTTCTTCAGTCTTCCTTATTCACTGTCCAGCTTTCACATGCATATAAGGCAACTGAAAATACCCTGGTTTTGGTCAGGTGCATCTTAGTCTTCAAAGTGACATCTTTGCTCTTTAACACGTTAAAGAGGTCTTTTGCAGCAGATTTGCCCAACACAGTATGTCATTTGATTTCTTGACTGCTGCTTCCATGGACGTTGAATGTTGTAGGTCCAAGTAAAATTAAATCCCTTACAACTTCATTGTTTTCCCCATTTATCATGGTGTTGTTTATTGGTCCAGTTGGGAGGACTGTTGTTTTGTGTTGAGGTGTAATCCATAATGAAGGCTGCCTTTGGTCTTTGAAGTTCTTTGACCTTCATCAGTAAGTGCTTCACCTCGTCTTCACTTTCAACAAGCAAGGTTGTGTCACGTGCATATCACAGCTTGTTAATGAGTCTCCTCCCTCCTGATGCCACATCATAGGGATGTCAATCTCTGTACACCCAAACTGCTGGAGAAACTCCAAGGGCATGGATCAGCATCATGCTTGGGAATGGAAGTTAGAACAATCTACTGCCTGGAGAAGCCAAGGCTCCACTGCGTTGACCTGCCAAGTGAGGAAAGTGTCAAGAGCTGGGCTTGGGGGCTGCCCTCCGGGCAGAAGCAACCCCCCACCCCACTCCCTACCCCACCCCTGAAACCAGTTCCTGGGGACAAAGCCATCTATTTCCAGGCACAGCCTTACAGTAGCACAAAGGTACTCGTGCAAGGCTTCCAAAGCAGAAAATTTAACCAGTCCTGGGATCTGAGAGGCTCTCTAGTTTGGAGAGATGCCTTATAAGAAGTGGTGAACTGGCGTGTCTCACCCAAGTTCAGACAGGAGGCAGAAACTCGGGCTTCCACAGGGCAAGTGTGTGAGCCATTCCCAGGAGGTGCTGTGGGACACGTTCCTCCAGGGTCCAGGGGAGAAGGGGCACAGCCACCC